TCCTTCAGCTCCAGGCGAAGCTCGGTCTTTGTCACTGACTGTCGTCGGGGCCATTCCTTTACCAGGCGTGCCCTCGCCTGCCCTCAGACCCCAGAATCTATTTCTGTGTCAGAGAGGATACGCAACCATTCAGACTGATGGGAAGGCCTTATAGCAAACTAGGCAAAATGTTTGTGAGATGACTTTATACAACAAAAGCAAGTTATACAACTATTTCCAGTTTTTACAAATAGCCATAGAATATATAAAGGAATACATCAAAATGGCAAAAAAAGTTGTGTTAAGAGTGGTGAAACTGCGGATGAGTTTTTTTCATTTTTCTAGATTCTTAACGTTCTTTATGTGATTTTATAAATGAATTTTTATTTTTGAATAGTTTTAGATTTATAAGAAATTTGTGGAACTAGTACAGAGGTTTCCTGAATACCCCACACCCAGTTTCCCTTATAGCATCTTATATGAGTATGGTATTTCGTCACAGCTAAATGAGCCAATAATTTAATGCGGTTTTTAAAATTAAAAAAAAAAAACAAAAACGAAAAAAACTTCGGTTTGGTAAAACCAAATAAACAACATGAATAGAGGAAAATGTCGCCCCTTCCATCACCTCTAACTCTAACTTAGCATCCTAGTATTGACCGTTTGTCTTATTAACTCCGGCCCCTCCTGGCATGGATGCTGGGCTACAGCAAAGCTTGCTTTGCCATCACTCGCCATATATTTGTGGATGTAGTTAAAGCAGTTCGAACTTGATTGTTTGAGAAAAGTTGCAATACATTAGAGTTGGATATCCCCAGGAGATGGGCTGCTGATCTTACATCAGTGAAAGGAAAAGTTCTTTATGAAATTTTGTCTGAGGAGCCTCACTTGAATTCTAGATCCCCGCACATAACGGTTCTTCCTGTGCATCGCTCAAACAAGGCAGCTAAACTTCAGGCTTCGTAGAAGAGGATCTTAGTTTTTAAGTTATAAAAATCACTAACGTGGCAAATATTAAATATTCTAAAGAACGTGTTTTCGGCTTACTTTTAATGTCTGGGCTATAGAAAATGGAGTTTGGGGTTTTTGTTTGTTTGTTTGTTTTTTAACGTTTCTCTCCTAGTGAGCTTTCCTTGTTCTATCTGCCAAGGTGGTTTCAAAGAACCTTTCTGGCTATCTAGCGGTTAGAATAAATCCTACAGATTATGCGAAAAAATAACCAACTGAAATAGCTGGGTACAGGCCTACTTTCTTTTAGGAATATAAAACATTCTATTTTAAAACATAACTGAAAAAAACTCAAACAGGTTTTTCCCCCTATTTTTAGTTGATAACTATATTTTCATCTTTTAGGATCGTCTTTGCTTCACATAGCCAGAACTATAACACTCAAATCAGAAAAAACACTAAACAGTATCCTAACGCATATCCTGTCCCTAATTTTGAATGGTGTTGGAAAATCCTCAAAAACAAACTAAACGTATAGCATTCTTGTATCTTCAAGGTAGCCTATAACACATCACAAAAAAATGTGGAGCAAAACTTTGTTAAACGAATTAAAAATTGTAAGAAAGGAAAAAGGTATACATTAGGTTTACTAAAATAAATCAGTCTCGAAGTCAATCAATAGATTGTAATTCCAAGGAAAATGCTGAGTATCGGATTAACAAATAAAGATATGATAGTCACGGTGGGTGACTGAACACCCCCAAATCAAAGTTAATGTAGCACCAATGACGATTTTAAAATATGTTTATCAATCCATTACCTGTTTTATCAACTGTATTATATAACTTTGCTTTATTATAAAAGTGATTGGCTATCCAAGAATATCATTATTAATGATTTATTAAGACTGATATTTTAGGGGCTAATAGGCAAAATTTATAAAGAACTCATACAACTTAACACTGAAAAAAAAAATCCAATTAAATGGGCAGAGGACCTGAACACATATTTTTCCAAAGAAGACATGCAGATGGCCAGGAGACATGAAAAGATGCTCGACATCACTAATCATCAGAGAAATGCAAATTAAAACCACAATGAGACATCACTTCACACCTGTCAGAAAGTCTGTCTTCAATAAATCAACAAACAAGTGCTGGCGAGGATGTGGGGAAAAGGGAACCCTCATGCACTGTTGGTGGGATTGCAAATTGGAGCAGAATGGCAGTTCCTTAAATAATTCAAAACAGAACTACTTTATGACCCAGCAATTCCACTCCTGGGTATTTATCTGAAGAAATCTAAAAAAAAAAAAAAAAAAGTTCGAAAAAATATATGCACCTCTATGTTCACCGCAGCGCCATTTACAACAGCCAAGACAGGAAAGCAACCTGAGTGCCCATCGACAGACGACTGGATAAAGAAGTGGTACAAACATACAATGGAATATCACTGGGCCCTAAAAAAGGATGAAATCTTACCATCTGCAACAACGTGGATGGCCCTAGAGGGTATTATGCTGAGTGAGATAAGTCAGACAGAGAGACAAATACCATATAATCTCACTTATATGTGGAATCTAAAGAACGAAATAAACGAACAAAATGCAAGCAGACTCAGGTTCAGAGAGCAAACTGATGGTTGCCAAATGGGAAGGGTGTGTGGGGGGCTGGGTGGAAAAGGTGAAGAAATTAAGAAGTAAAAATTGGTAGTTACAAAATATTCACATGGATGCGAAGTACAGCATAGGGAATACAGTCAATAACATTGGAATAACTATGCATAGTGCCAGGTGGGTACCAGATTAATCATTGGGGGGATCGTCTCGTCAATTATACAAATTTCTAAGCACTAAGCTGTACACCTGAAACTAATATAAAATAATACTGACCATCAACTCTGATTGAAAAATAAAAAATGAATTAAAAAAAGACGGATGTTTTAAAACCAAGATTAAGCGTCAAATTTGTCTTGTTAAAAATTAACTTATGGAAGGAGCAGCAAGGCATGCTCTTCGGGATATTTAATCCTCTAAATGTAGGTCAGCAGATGCGATTTTGCTACTGAGCTTTGAGTGAGGGAACAACATGGACTGGAGAGAACAAGCAGTAACTGAAGCGCATGGCGACCCAAGGAAGTTTCTGGAAGAATGTACCTCGAAAGGTGAACCGTGGAGAGACAGGTAATTCTCATTTTTCAGTACATTTTTGTCCTATCGGAAGTTTAAAATAACAACCATTCATGTATGGCCAGAAAACAATAAACGTATTCGCTTTTCAGAAAAAGACAATGAAAATAAGATGTTAAAGTTTGACTTCTGACACCAGAAAAAAGCAAAAGTTTTATAAAACATTACAAAAATGGCATTAGACTATTTGGTTATGTTGTAACTTAATAAAAAGTTCCCATCCACAGCATACCAACTACATGGGGAAGAAAACAACTTTCCTTTTTAACTCACTGACACTTATTGTCCGTTTTCGGCGCATAGACAAATATTCACTTCACAGAATGGATTCAAGCTACCAGTTACTGGAAGTAACAGAAGTTCTATGGCTCTGCTACATTATTGGGATGCTTAAAGATCGCTTATTTTATTATCTAAAAATCCTGTTCTTTATTTTTAAAGCTCTAGAAGGTAATTTCTTAAAAAATCTACTTGGATTAGCATGTATCCTCAAGGTAGAAATATAACTGAAATGATTCTTACCTGACATCGCACATCAGAATTGGTTGGGCGGTTCAAAGTCACTGGGTCACATTCCTCGGCTAGGACAGAAGACGGAGAGGTCGATGAGGGAAGCGCACGCTCTGGCGGAGGCCGAAACGAAGACCCCAGGAGATGCGCTCGCTGCCCGGCGGCTGGTGACACGGAGGGTCGCGAACGGCACCCCTCCGCGGAGAAGGCCCCCTCGCTGAACGCCACCCCTGCGTGGTGGGCTTCAGGCCCCGCCAGCCCACAGAATTACTCATCCCGGCCCATCCTGCCTCGGGCACCAGGATCACTGCAGTGCCCACCCCTCCCCCCCCCTACAGCGCCTGGAGCCCCACAGGGCCCTGCAAAGCGTGGTGTCCTCTGCTACCCTGAATGTCACCTGTCCAGTGTGAGTGTGCTGTGTTTGGCCACCCCCACGACCCCAGGGCAGGCTCCCTCCCTCCCCCACCAATGGCGTGAATAAAAGGCGCTCAAAACCCATTTCCCTCAAAACCCATTTCCCTCTGGTTGACATTACGTCAAATTCCACATTACGTCAAATTCCATTGTGTCATCCAAGCCTTTCAGATACAGAGAGTGGGGTTAGCTTGCCTTGCAAGCTCCCCCTCCTGAAAGCGACACCCACACCATTTCAGGGATTATGAAAGTGGGGATTGCCGGGGAGGTCAGAGGGGCACCATATGCATGTGACGTGTTTAAACACCTTTAACAGGAACTCCCCTCCTCCCCGGCTGACGTGTTAGCAGCTCCCCAACTGCGTGCTGAAGGCTGTACGAATGCACTAAACACGGATTTTATTCTGTCAGATTTCAATCTTTAACCACAACGTCGCACTCTCAACTTAAAACTCGACAGAAGTAGTGTCATGAAAGAAATGTTTCTTGTCGTGTAAATTTTTACTGATAGAGCCTTCAGCGGAAAAATCACTTAACTCAGAGTTCTAAAGTTAAGAATGAACGAAAGGTTGACTTATCTATGTATTTTTTATATTCATTAACATTCCTTCACGTACTGTGTGATGGGCTGAGAGATGAATTCAGATAAGGGGGTACAGTCATTGCCTCCTACACGATTGTGACAAAAGGACCTGAGAAATTGTAAGCACGATCTGTTACTGAGATTCCAGGTGATGTCTTTTTAAGCCAGCGCAGTGGAGACCTTGCCCAGGCTTGCCGTTCGCATGGGCCTGAGTCACCCGGGCAGCTTATTAACAATGCGGGCTCCGGGCTCCACCCCAGACCCCTCAACTGGAATCTCAGGGGCCCAGAAATCTGACACCCAACAAGCACCCCACAGATCCGGATGCTGACGAAAGTGCGAGTCTTCTCAGCAAAAAGTACCGGACCTGTAATTTTAGTCATACGACTTCTCACGATGGCTAGCGTCCTAACTGTCAACCCAGCATTTCTGTAAAAGTGGGATTTTTTTCCGCCCCCAACATCATGGTAACTTGAACAGCAACTTTTTTATGTGGTGCCGCGAACAGTCCTGCGGTCATGTCCCTCTCTCTCCCCTCTGCCCTTCACGAAAGCAAAAGAAGTTTGCAGAATGGTCACCGTTGTATTCGTGTCATAATTCGGGGGGTGAGTTTTGGTTTATTATACCAGAGATTCCTAAGAGAGTCTTGGCCAAGGTGGGTGGGAGCGAGTGTACTACAGCATGAGCAGGACCCGGACGCACAGCAAATCATGCAGGCGGTCGGGTGTTCAGCTTCATGTTTGAACAAGAAAACCTATTAACAAAACACTGGCAACCTGCAAGGTGAGAAATCTATAACACGTCAGCTTGCTGGCTTTAAAGCAGACACTTTTACTTCTGAATTATTTTAGTATTTGTTTATTCTCGCCATCTTTTCCGAATTGAACTACTATTTCTAAATTTAGTGAACAAATTGTTTTAAAACGCCCCCGAAATATCATCTACACTTAATTCCTCAAAATCATTAATAATAGAATCAGTCGACTTTAGTTTTTTAACTTCACTAGACTTTAGTTGTTTAAATTTGCTATAAAATTTTTTGAACCATAAAAGGAAAGAGTATTAATACCAGAAAAAATTAAGATGATTAATCACCTGATTAATCATCTAATTGATTGATTAATGATGTATTTATGTACATTTTCCCCTCACTATAAATAGTGGCTCAAAACTCAGAATTCTTGTTCCAAAGATAGTTTTCTCTCAAAATGTGAAGTCATATCCCTTTCAGAACACCTGAGCCAGTGTCTCCTATGAGATCTCGGGAATTGTCTAAACTCCCACAGCTGATTCATGGTAGAACTACATGATTCTAACCTACTCTGTTCGGACCCCACCAAGAACTTCGCTTTCTACTGCCCAAGAATAAAGTAAGAATATACAGAAGTATTATGAAGATTCTGTGAAACAAGCTTAATTTGCTTACGAAAATGAATTTTGAGGACTCTTCAAGCCATGGAAATTGCTTGAGCTAATTACAAATGACTCGTCTGCTAAATAAAGTAGGTGCCCCTAAAATTCACTTAAATGTTGGGGTCTGAGATTGTGCTTAATATAATTCGATTACTTTTACTTTTAAATCTATAAATTAGTCTCTTCACTAATTCATATGGGTTTTCTTCCCTTAAAAACAACTTCAATAAGAAAATTACCATAAACATTTAATGACGATATTGTGTCCATTAAGGTATGTTTAAAAAAATACTAGCAGACATCAAATTGTTATATTACTAAATGCAAATTTGGAGGTGTCTGAACTTCTGGACATGGTTCATCACATATAAGGTGATGTATTTTGCTGGTGATGAGAAATTATGTGCTTAATCATACTATTCCCATGAAGAAGCAGAGAAGAAAAATGTAGCATAGGGTTTTAACAGCCACGTTACCTGTCAACTCATCACCATTTTAATTAAGGTTTCTAAAACTCAAATTCTAGGAGAAACCCAACAATACCAGTACCGTAGTATCCGGTAGCTAAGCAACAATCTTTTTCTCTGCAAACAGGAAATCAGTGAAAGGATGATAAGATCTTTAGTTAGCTCGAACCATGACTCTGCATTACAGAATCACTGCAGCTCTGTCTTTGTCTAAAACAGTCCCACCTCTGCGGCTCTGCTATGAAAGCTTTCGTTAGTCCTCAGCCCTGATTTTCAAATTCTTTGATCAGATTTCCCCCCACCTGTCTGACACTCACACGCGCCAGGCGCCGTCCCAGACTCAATCCACTGAATTCTCGCTAGCGCCATGGGAGGTGGATGCCGACGTGTCTGCCCTGCGCTGCAGACAGCAGCAGTCTGAGGCCCTGAGACCTGAAGTCACCGCCGAGTCGCTCGAAGCCAGTGTGGCTGCGTTCAGCTCTATCTTCCACATGCTTCTCCAGCAGACACCCCAAGCTCCTGAAGCTTCTTATCCTGGCTCTCAAAGTGAGGTCTGCATCCCAACCACTCAGATGAGCATTAAAATGCAGGTTCCCTGGCCGGACCCCACACCCACCCATCAGGGTTTGGGGGCGGCTGGGCTCAGAATCTGCGTGTGAAACAAGCTCTCTGTATATGCTTGGGCCTTCACTGCCGCCCAAGACTCCTCTCTCGTCTGTGCCTGGCCACGAACTGGGGTCCTCAGGACACTCAGAAGCCATTCGTGGGGAGCGGAAAGGGGAAGCGAGCTTACCAGAAACCTGCCCTCGAGCCTGGATCGGGGCTCACGCCTGGCCTTCTCTATGTCACAGCCATCCCTGGGACAAGCTCAGGAGGCAAAAGGAATGCCACTCTCATGGCGTAATCTCAAGGAGCAGGGGGGAGTCTGGTGAGCAGGGAACCAAGGGGGGTGGGGTGACTCGGCAGAACCCAGACCTAAGCACAGGTGGGCCCGGAAGAAGCCCCCGTCCACCTCCAGTCAGGGACCCTGGGACACCTGTGACCGCAGGCACTGCCAGGAAACCCACGCAGTGTGAGCCGGGAAGTCCTGCCTCCCCAGGAAGTGCGGGTGGGGACGGGGGGTGCCAGCGCTGAAGCTGGTCAGATCTGACTGTTCCCTGCCCCCACCCCACCCCACCCTTCCTCTCTGGGTTGTCGGCTGAGCACAAGGTAAATGCCCCAGCGTGACAGCCAGCAGCCTGGCCTTCCCGAGGAACAAGGAACGCAGCCCCATGGGCTGCCCCACGGGGGGCCGAGGACAGGCAAAGGCCTGGTGACCTTCCCGGGCTGCAGCGTGCCCCAACGTCCCTGCGTGGGTGAAACAGAGCTGGTTTCGCTCTGGGGCCTGACAAGCCTCCCTGGGCCCTCTGGTACCAGAGCCTGCTTTCCTGTGTTTTGGATGGAAATGACTGTGCGCCCCCTGCCTCCCCAACAACTGCAAAGCTCACACCAATGTCCTGATGACCAACTGATTCAGCTACGGCCATAAGGCCAAACTGCTCACACCACAACTGTCCCTAACACTGTGCCGTGGGTGCTGCGGGAAAGGCTCCTCGCTCTCCACCACCTCTGGCAGCACCAAGTGGACCTAGAGGTGTCAGGGACCATCCGTCCCACCCCGTGGGGAAAGCCTGCCGAGAACGGGGCCGCCACAGAAGACGGAGCCACAACACGGGGGAGATGGAGCCTGGGCTGGCTCGGGTCCAGCAGCGGCCAGCGAGTCCCTCCCTGCCTTTTAAAACGAACTTGAGTTAGGGTTCTGTCACTTGCAACTCATTTTATGCATGTTAAAAACACCCCAGGTATTTGATGTTTAATTCGTTATAAAGTAATTTCTAGATTTTAAAAAGAAAATTCATGTCTGAGATAATCATCAAAAAGTCATGAACGAATGGACCGGTATGTTACTGTTTTTCAATTTTACTCTGACTACTGCTTTGTTCAAGATATTAAAATAATCACAAGTTCAAGTAGTTATAGTAACTGTACGTACCTTTAGGGAGTCCCGTATCTTGAATGGGATATTTGTCTGACTGGAGAAACCAACAAAAGAGGAAAGTTATTTTTAAACACCATAGTCAATTATAAGCCTGAAGTGAAAAAGGAAGCTTTGTCTTGGGAAAGGCACGATTTTAAAACATCGCAAGTTTTCCGCTTCGGCCATCATTAGGGCTGACCCATAGCTTGTTTCTACCCTCGATTGATAGACATGAATTCGAGGTTGACGAGACGTTCACGTTGGAACACAAAACAGAATGAGACCTAACTTCCTCGGCCCTGACCGCCAGACCACACTTCCTCTCCTGTCTGCAGGGCCAGTCTCCCCATCTCCTTCCAACAGTTTAGAAGTGAGGTGCATTTGTGTTCGTGAACAGTGAGGACGGACCCATTTCTGTGACAGTCACGGGGGTCCACACCGTGCATGCTGGGCAGCACTCACCGCTGCACAGCTCTGTCCCGGGCTGACGAGAACAGATTCTAAAGGGGACCATCCTATCGGTCGCACGGTTAAAGAGCTACAAATCGGTCAGTCGTCACGCACGATTCGCACAGTCTCCCTGGTGCAGGAGCTGAGTGCTGTCACGGAGAAGCTCTTACGGTCACATGCGTCACTGTTTGGCACCTACGAACACGCAGGTATCTACTGTTCTGGAAACACGGACTTCATCATACAATGAGGTCATTCTCTGAAGACTTCCATGAGAGGGCTGAGGATGGGCCCATTTCCCCATCCTGTTGCCTAACCCAGCTCAGCTCACTCCACCCCCTGGTCTGGGCCTTCGCGTCCACTGCCGCCAGCCCACGTCTTCCTTGGAGAGAGGAGAAAAAGAAACACGTGGAACCAAGGATTTTGTTTTAAACCCCTTTCCCTGGAATTTCTTTGGGCCTCTAAAAGCCTCCCAACCTTTTCCACGGAAGAAATCAATCCTCGATCACAGAGAACGTAAAAGTCTAACATTTTCCCCCCAGATTCTGCTCCCCAGAGCACGGAAAGGCCTGTAGCGCCTCACTTACCAGACTCTTTGTAAAGTACCTGTCTGCTTCCTGGGACGGACTGTGAGTTTTTTGAGGGAGGGGACTGTGATCTCCGCGTCCCAGATTTTGGATCAGTGTTAAGTAAACATCTACAGGGTCTGCGTGGATGAACACACAGGTGGGGGCAAGACCAGGTTTCCTGGAGGGACTGACATTCGAGCTGGGCCTAGAGCGTGCCAGGGCCTCAGAGGACCCAGAGGAAGGACGTGCAGAGGGCGGACACGGAGGAGCAAGACCAGGTAA